TGTCATAGAATACTTTTAAGTAACCTTCCTGACTTCCATTTTATTTCAGTTTAAGCGTACCACCATTTCACGCGTAAGCAATCACCACTTTACATTAAGTTCAGTTGTCGCTGATGCGATCAGACAAAAGTATTTTCTTTTCTTTGTTCTATTTACAGATTTATCTGAATATTTGAGCATGGTCATCCTTTTTGCACTTAATGCTAAAAAATCGAACTTTAAGCACGGTTTGCATCCCCTAAAAGTACCGAATTAACTAGCGGCTGTTTAAAAACACATGTTTGTCTCTGCATACGAATCTACAAGTATATTCTAAATGTTATAGTTATTCCTTCAGCAGATTTGGTTTTGAGTTGATTTTATGAATGAAATCTTAGAATGGAAGAAGAAGAAGAAGAAGAAGAAGAAGAAGAAGGAGGAGGAGGAGGAGGAGAAGAAGAACAAAATGATAGTAAGACGTAATTTTATATCTGACTTATTTGCGCCACTTTTTTTTCAGTTAATTTTAGAGAATGAACTGAATGTGGCATTCCATTATTATTCAGAAACAGTGTCTCTTTAAACCGGGATTCTAAAGCCTACCGAAAACATAATGAACTTTGACTTTCAAAGACACAAAGGAACTTTGTGACTTTCAAAGCTCTGTCGTCTGACAAACGTACATGTTATTAAGTAAAAGTTACCTGAGGGAAAAATCAGGGCTTCCTCTACACTAACGCGCGCGATCCTAAAGTAATTACAGCACTCACGTCATTATAGAAGTCGGCGATGTGAATCGCGGTTACTGGTGCGCGCGGACCGGTTGGGCGCTTACGATCAACTCGTAATCCGCGGATGAGAGACGACAATCAGAAGGGATTCGCCGACAAGAGGGCGGACGAGCCAGAGCAAGCGATTGAATCGATTCTGTAGATCTCTGATTCAATCGTTTCTATTTGAGGATTTTTTTTCTGATCCGTTCGACTAATAGGAAAGTTTTCGGTTGTAAGAACCTAAGAAAATGAAAAGGTGAACTTTAGATTCAAATTCCTACAACTACGCTAGTCCACGAAAGTCATTATTTATAATTGTCATGAGAGAACAGAAGTGGCTTTCCATTACTCTTGATTGACGTTACAGAAACAAATCTTCAGTTTAACTTGGAATTATTTCTTTCATGTTACACAATTAAGTTAGTACAATTTACTTATTTAACGTCAAAAACAATTATAAACGATCACCAATTGCACATTAGAAGAATTAAAATATTTAAAGAAGTGTGCCATTAAATTTTATGTGAGTATTCTTTTAATTGACCACTTCTTTGATAGTTCCAAATCTGTGGCTTAAGACCATACAGATCAAGCGAAATATCACTAATACACTCTCATTCACTTAAACAAATTAGTCAATTGGATGGAATATACTTTGTATTTAAAATTTTCGCATATGTTCTCATTTCTCGCAAATTTTCGCATACGCGCATTCTCTCTTTCTTATTTATTTCAATTGTTCCACCGTGAAACACTCATAATGTCTCAAACTGGAAGTATGTCCATTGCATCTCAGATCTCTAAGGCTTCTCGGAGTAATTGTAATAATTCTGGATGCGTCAACTGCAGTCTTGCAAGGACTTTCTGGAACGTGAGAACAGGCGCGGACATACACGTCAACTTCCATAATTCCCCTCCAGATATCCCTTCACTTTAACTTCCACACTTAGTGTGTGGAAGTTAAAGTGAATGTGTATGAGGCTAGAGGAGGGGGTAAGGATGTGGAAGGAAAGATCGCGCATGGTCCGTGGCCCGTTTGTTAGGGTACTGTCCCGGCATTCGTCGGTAATCAGACAAAACAATAAAAACTACCAATCTAATCAGTTGGACGCTAGAATCCTCCTTCAGGCCGGGAGAGGTGGCTCAAGGCATCAACTGATGACACTGCAGTGCTACTGACCGGGAGGCCTTACGTTTCAGTCCAGACGGTGGTAGTATTTTCGACACTACATAGAAAGCTAGGTCGAATTCAGTCACTGTATGGAGGAGAATTGTACAGGCCGGTGGATCTGATCCGTGGTTTTTCATGGTTTCTCTGATCAACACCAGGCGAGTGCCGGAGCAGTACCCTAACAAACGGGCCATGGACCGCGCGCGATCTTTACTTCCCCTTTCTTGTCCTATCCTTACACACACACATACCTACATGCATGAACAATCACACATTCCGAGAGACTGGCCGGGAACTTAGAACTTGTCCCTTTGGAAAGAGATACCTGGTGGGGAAAAGCCGACGAGAAAGTCGGCGCCGGATCTCATCATCACCGCACCCTCCCGGACAAAAACATGCTCTATACTTACGGGACTAATGATCTTAGCAGTTTACGCGTCCAGAGTCACTAATCAATCATTCAATCCTTCAGGAAGGGGTTCAATTCTTCCCAGCTACAGCCAGGGTCAAAAATCCGCGACCGTCGAAACTTGAACCCTGGGATCTTCCGGTCAAATACGCTGTAACGGCGGCATTGTCTCTTTCGGCTTTCTGCTATTTTTTTTTTTTTCGAATAAATGATTGATGAACCAGAAGCTCTTCATTAACCTCCAAGATTTGGAATGAAGATGAGAATACGTAGAACCACGCTCAGTCTTTGATCCATTCTTCACGGAATAGACATGGCATCCACCCACCATCCGAGGAATCCATAGCAATATACAAATACATAATGAGACCCATAAGTACTTATGACTGTCCCATATGGATTAATGCTACCAAAACAAATTTCGCAAATTCTGAATAATCCAAAAATAATTCCTGAGTTTCATAACTAATGGCGCCATGGTTCATTGCCAACAATCAGCTTCATAAAAAATTAAACATTGTATCATTATATCACTTCATCACATTCTTTGTTAAAAACTTCTATCATAACAAACATCAATTGCCAGCACTCACCGAGTTCAGAATCTCAAAAAACCCAAACCACAAAACTAGAAAACAAAATAAATATCCTTTTCATATCTTCCAAATCAAATTTGCAAACGTAGGACCTGATTAGAAAACACATAGTGGGACGTCTTCCCAATGTATGGTAGGTAAGTCTAGAATAAGCTAATGAGTAATTAAAACTCATTACTACTCAAGTAATAATGGTAAATAGTACTCAATTAATAACTGTAAATTACGTGTGTTCAGTTTCAATTACTATATACGTCTATCGAAAGTTCAGAAAACATTAAATTAAAAAATATCTCATCCTGGCAGAGTTTGGTATCGCCTTATTTACTTGAATCGAAAATTCACGCGCCGTCATGATCATATTTGTATTACATGTGAAATGTATGCATGTGTAGAACACAATATCGAAGTACACAAAATTAATATGCTTAATATTAATATAATTTATCTTCACCACACAATTGGTGTTACATTAATTACACCTCTATAATTGAATAACAAAAATGAAAGTTCGTTTGTGCGCAATTATTGAGTATTACCTCTTAGAAAAGTAGGACATGATATTATTCATTGTAAAGTTTAGTTGACCGTTATAGTGCATAGTCACCCAATGGTCCAATAAAGAGACACTTATTTCACCAATGAGAAACTATGATATATGTGTCAGTACGCGTTTTGTTTCTTTATTATTATTATTTTTAAATATTCCATGATATAGCGCATTATATTATAAACAATTCGAAATTTGTAGTAAATCAAGTTTACTAATTTTTAATTACGATAATTCTGAAGAATAAGCAAGTCATCTAATTATAATTATTATCATTAATATTACTTTCAATACAGAAATGATCGAAATTGAATGTAAGTTTTCCGAATCGGTTACAATTTTCCAAAAGAAGTGTATGACAACATACCTTTTTGCTGTGTTTTATTTTACTATCACACAACATTTTTATTCTTGTCATTTCAAATAATTTTCCACATGAAAAATAGTGGATAAATACACAAAGAAAACAAACAAGTATTCACATGTGTTGAAACTCACGCCTCATAATGTAGCTTTATCACGTGATAAAAACGTTAGAAAAAGTTAATACAAGATTACAATATCTTTACGAGCAATATCATGTCGCTTAACAGACCTAGTATTGCATGCAATTAACATGAACATCTACTCATGAAATCTTTTAAGTTTCGTTAACATGCGCGTACACACGCATGTTAAGATACTATCTCAGAAAAGACTGATCTTCGGGATTACTCGAGAAACGCAACTTACGCGTAGCTACATATGAAGGAAGGATTTCTAATAGATGTTTAGTAGCAAACCTACTACATCGTGTAATTATGATTCAGAAAAGAGTTAATTATTAATAATTTTAATTATTCTCTGAGATTCTACATAGGTAGCAATGTTATCAACATTCAAAGTCAGGAAAATGATAAAGATCTACCAGAATTCCTTAACATAAATCTTCGACTTTTTACAAGAGCAACCAATGTTTGTCAGAAGTGCCAATGGATAATTGACATATGTAATACTTGCGCCAAGCCACAAATATAATTTAAACATGTTTTCTGTACTGCATATGCCGCTTAAGAATTGAGGCATCTAGTGTGAGAGGGAGCTAACCCACAAAATACAAAATATCGGTTTATGAACGTATGCGATTACAAACACTTCGAAAATATTAATAAATGGATGTTTTGAATTTTGTGGATAGGCTCCTTCTCTCACTGGATGCCTCAATTGCAGACTCCGTATGAGGATAAAGAACCTTCGCAGTTCGAGTGCGAGGGGGTGTGCGCCTCGCGTCCGTCGGCTCCTGCGCCGTCCAGAGCCGCGCGCCGGCGGAGTCAAGAGCCAAAGGCGACCGGTGTTCCCCCGCGCATGCTGCGTGGCGCGCGCGGGCCGCTGCGGCCCGAACGGAACCGGAGTACGGCACCTCGCCGGAGGAATACCTCAGCGGTCGGCGCACCTGTGTCCAGCTACCCCGCCCCGCCCCGCGCCCTCTCACCCTGCCGGCCGGGATTACCATAGCTCGCCTAACTCGCACGTCTTTTCTCTTATGTGGACATACGACGCGTGGCGCCGCGGCGGGCGGCTGCCGCCGGCGGTGGAGGGGGAGGGGAGGAAGGTGGGGCGTTGGGGGAGGGGCGGGCGCTCCGCGCGCGCGCGCGCGCCCCCGCCGCCCGCCTACCGCCGCCTCCTGGAAGAGCGAGTTTATATAAAGAGCAGTACCCGCGGGCCAGACAGGAAAGTAGTTGGCGAGCCCCCTACAACCAGCTGCTCCGCCATGGCCGCCCGCGCTTGGAGGTCTGTGTCCCTGCGGCCGTCGGCCTGGCCGGCCGTGGCACTGCCCGCAGCCGCGGTTGCCCGGCGCGCGCCGCCGTCGCGTCCGATGGCCGCCGCCGCGCCGGGCGAGCACCGCGAGGCGACGCGGCCTCGCACCACAGCCGCACAGCATCCAGGGAGGCGACGCACCTCATGGACGCCATCTACAACGAGTGCCTTGCGCAGAACTCCGTTCCTGCGTCAAAGTACAAGCTCTTCTCGCTTCGTGACAGGTGCTCAGCACAAAGGACTCTGTTCAGCTTGACGGAGGGCGTGACGGTGGTGAAGACGCCCGGCGCCGCCGACGCCAAGGTGGGCGGGGCCCCGCGCGGCCTGGGCGACGACGACAGCGTGGAGGGCGCGCTCGCCAGCCGCCTCGAGCAGTTCCTTGAGACGCACACGCTCAAGATCGACCTGAGCGGCAAGGACGTGCTCAACTCCGTCACGTCGGTGGGGCGCGCGCTCGGGGACGTCGCCGACGGCCTGGGGCTCACCGAGGAGGAGGACGACGCCGCCGGCGCCGTCGGCGAGGAAGGCCGGGGCAAGAAGAGTAAGTCCCCACGCCCACGCACCAATTACACTAACGCACTAACGCACTCCGTTTCCGATGTTTTAAACTTAAAAAATAATACTTCTTCCGCAAAAACGTAACTCAATCTCTTCATTCTTTGCAAAAACCTATCTATTGTCACTCAAAAATATTTCATAATGCTGATAATGTTAAAAATTACGTAAAACGTTTCGTTCAGAAACAAAGTAACCAAAAAGCGATCGTTAGAACCATTTTCCCCGCTGTCAAAATTGCAGACCTAAGACTAAAATTTCCAAGTCCAAGACTTCGAGCATTATCGCGTAAATTAATCTTTGTTCTTTCATTCTTTTTGTCGTTTGGAATAAAAATTATTAAAAATATATAAAATTAAAAAAATACATTCACACTGTCGGGAAAAATAGATTTTTACTTTGTATTAGAAAAACTCTAAAATGTTAAGTATGTAAAAGTAATGTTACTGCAAAAAAACTGAAATTTAGAAAATTCACATATTTTTTTACGTGCCAATACTTAAAGTACTTTGTGCACGCCAATTTTCTTAATCATTTACCGTGTTTGAATTTCTCACGTCTCACATAATTGGCAAGACTCGGTAGCGGAAAGCTCTCTTCTCGTAAATGCCTCTCCTACTAACTCTCTGGAGATAACTGATTTTCATGTCTTCTAAGCAAAGCCGGTTCTGTATGTGCATGTTATACCCTTCCTCTCTCGTTTATTACTACGATATTTTGGTCTACAATGCTCGCTACTTACTTTCTTCACTACGTGTTCAAGTCACACGTAATTACTCCTCGTATATTCAAATCGCAATAGAAAAATCTAAGATGTACTCGTTTCGTCAGTTGAAAAAATTAGACTCCTTTTTCGAATATGACGACTCAGATTGAACCTCGATTTCTAGTAGGTCATCGGGAATTTAGGTTGAACTGGGATTGGTCCACGACCCACATTTCGCCTCCATTAGCACGTGCCTCCACAGGCTGCGTGGGTCCAGGTTAACGCCTGTCGTGACTGCCCAATGCAGTATACCGCCACCCACTCATTATAATAAACGATGGAGTATTCCAGTTTCGGGCGGAAGAAATTCATCATACTTTTATTTGGATTTCCTGCAACATTCTGAAACACGGATAACGAGACGATCGTTGGTTGCTTGGGAATTTAATAATCAGAATATACGTTTCTACCGCTTAACACAAAGACTATATCGAAGGAAAATGAAAACTTCTCTGCGGCTTAGGTAGGTTGGAAGAATGAATAACATAGCGGTCAGTAAATTATATTAACCGCAATATTTCTAACGAGCGGAAAGACAGTTTTGCAGACAGACAGTCTTTCTTTTTTAACAGGCCAGTCACATGCAATTTATCAGAATTAATGTTTACATATCAAAGCGAGAAATTAATGTTACAATATAATACGAAACAACGCCGGCTCGTTAAAAGAAACTTTTTTCCGATTCTCGAAATCGCAACTCACAAATCAACGGGAATAAAAACTCATTTTACGAGCAGCAGAACACCTGTTTAAAGCACCGCGGCGGCCGATAGCGTCAGGTGCGTGGCTGCGGAATGCGACAGCGAGGGGGGCGGGGCACGGAAGGAGGGGTCCGAGCGGGTTTCGGGGTCGGCGCTCGCCCGCGGCGCCGGTGGAGGTTGGCCCCCGGGGGGCGGCCGAGTGGGCGGAAGGGGCTGGATGGGGTGACGCACGGGGCGGGGCGAGGAGGGGCAGGGGGCCCCTGGGCAGGCGGACGGACGAGTTGGTGGCTGGGCGGGCGGGCGACAAGTAGTCTGCCGACGGGAAAAAAAACCTTTTCCGCTGAGCGGCGGCCGCACGCACTGGGCCAGGAGACGCCTCAAAGCGCTTCTCACAGGTCCCGCCCGCGGGGGCTCGCCGCCGGCAGCCCACTGCATTCTTGCGTCGGTCGCGTTTCGCGTTTTCTGTGTTCCTGACCTCCAAAGTTTCCCCATGAGGTTTCCTCTTCTACTTTCCAGACACTGACATTACCTTGATATGGCAACTCGTTCTAGGACGAGATGCGTGAATTCGCTCGTCGATGATTAGTAACTCTTACCTACACCCCTACGCAACTTTCTTTGCTTAATTTCCGCCTCTGTATTCAATTCCTCCGCCGAGCTTTCATGATCATTTTCCTTCCACAATCCATTAAACCATTTCCGTCGTGCCTCCTAGTCTGCTGTTTTATTTGTAAAATTACGAGTACAATTTATATCTTCCCTCAACTGTTTTCGCCATTTTCAACAATCCTCCTAGAGACTTCGAATACGATACTCCTCCTCAACTATTGCCTCTACTCGTACACTTCTATTTCTCCTTTCTCGCATCCTCAACCCGGTACGTTTCCGCATCCTAGCGCTGGCACAGAACATCACGCCACAGTCTTCCCATCTCCGTGAAGCAGGGTTCTCCAACCTACGACCCGCGGCCTGCATCCGGCATGAGTAGCATATTAGACTGGCCCAGCGAACTAATCCAAAATTGTATTTATTCTGAAAAAAAAACATCCTTAGCCAAAATCTGAAAAATTGCTATACTGATTGTTAGTCGGTAGGTGGCTCGCGCCCTCTTCCTACTTGCAATTTGGTCCGCGGACAAAAAAGGTTTGGAGACCCCTGCGCAAAGCCCAGCAGCGGCGGCTCTCACACATTCGGGCGCGTGGCAAAAAAAGGCTTGCCTCAGGCAAAGGTCGAAGCGAGGCGAGGCACGCGTGAATGAACCTGTACGGCTACTCGCGTGACGGAGGCCACCCAAAAAACAAACGGGGAAACGGGTCAGGATGTTCGATAGAAACTATGTTCCCCACATGCCTTCCGCCCAACTTCGCGTTTTCAAGATATTAATTAAAATAATCGCGATTTAAATAGTAATATCGTCAGAGAATTCTGTAACAGGTAAACTTACGGTCACTAACAGCAGTTTAGTAGACGGGATCTGATACGCGTGATATTAAGTTACTCAGCTACTCGAATAGAGGTGTTCCATGTCCAGAGTTGTGTGGCCGGTTCTAGCTGCAGTAGCAATAGTCAGAAATCAGGTCGGATCATCCAGTGATCAGACTCGGTAACTATTTGGCGACAAAATATACATTATGTTCGTTCGACAAAATATACGTTATGCTTGAGAGTACGTAAATTCCACGAGGTAGCTGACGAATGATATGTTAATACGCGCACAACGTCATAAAGTTCTGTATCTTGAGACCATCGCACGCGTATGTCAGATTCATGCACATAATAACAACCTCGAACAATCGCGATTCATAACTTCATTCAACAAACACTAACAATCGAAAGAAGATATCAAACGTTCTCGAACAATTAGCATATTCATAAAACCGCATGCTTTGGTTCAATGCCACAACGTAACTCTCAGATAAAAGCATGGCAGCGTGGAGTCAAGATTCTAGTCTCATAAGTACAGCAAGTTGAATTTACATGAATTTCCTTAAAATTACAACTTTCATTTAAGTGCCGCATATTGCCTTTCAAAATTACGATGGTTTCTTTCGGGAAAAGAGCTAGTTGTCAAATTACTATATGCATTATGATTTCTTCGCGGTTTTCTGGAAAGCACAAGTGCCAGACCAGTGGATGTGTGACTAACGCACTGACTCAGCACCTTAAAATGTTATTTAGCAAATCGCATATTTTACAAAACGTTGCTGCGTATCTTTTATTGCGTACTTTCGAGACTTCTTTAATTTCCTTAACTGCAGCTTCGTGAAAAAAATCATCACTAACAGTTCTAAGGAAGCCTTTTCTTCATACTTTTGGATATCCATTACAAATATTGCTGTTATGGTGATTACATTTATAACAATACTATATACTCCTACCTAACAACGGTTAATGGATTGATAAGTTCAACGATATCAACAGGCAAGATTGCTCGGATTGTCTAGAATATGAGAATAGTTAAGTTTATTGACTTTACGTATTACACAATGTCACATGACTTTCTGCAATCTAAAAGGAAGCAAGAGTAACAAGAAAAGACAATTATACGTTAAATACGCAGAATTCATCATCTCGACAATAATCTGTTGCAAGGTACCGAATTTCGCAAGTACTAGCAACATTTTGCACGTTCAAGATTAGTTCGTTTGTAGGACACCCATGAACGGTCTTCTCACAATCTTGTTCGAGCACGACTCGAAATTCAGTGGGTCACTAAAACAGGAAGACAGGCTAGCGAGATTTTGGACAGTTGCAAATGAACTGCTTGGCGAAAACGTTCCCTCATTTCGTCAGCTTCATTGGCTTAAATCCTGGTCGCAGCCCTTGAAACCGAGATAACCGGGCGAGCAGCATAGCCATCTCGAGGAAGAGGCTGGGAGGGGGAGAGGGGAAGGCCAGTATCCGGGAGGGGGGAGAAGTCGGGAGCGTTTCTCTCCGCACCTGCGCACGTGGAGTGCCCGGTGGGAGGGGTCGTTCCCCGCCCAGTCGGGCCGCCCCGCCCCGCCCCCGCTCCCGGCACGGAGGGGAGCGGAGGAGGGGTGGAGGGGGAGGGGAGGGGCCGTTCACCTACTTCTCGGCCGCCGGTTCCGCGTGGGGGTCCTTGACCTTCTATCTGAGAGCGCGGTAAACCTTACGCCAGGTCACGGCCATCTCCACGTCGAGGGTGACCGGTTAGTTACTCCGGCGGCGCAGCGGCGGCGGCGGCGGCTGCTCTGTGGCTGGTGCGTCGACCCGCCCGCTTTCCAAGCTCAATTTGGGGAATTTGTTACCTGTTTAGGGAATATGCTTGAGCCACTGACCATTCCGATGTCTCCTTATAAGGGATGCTTGAGGATGCGTTGCTGTGAGGGGTTTATAGGTCACACATGTGAGGCGATTAGCCTTCTGCCTGACTGGGCCAAACGTTATGAAGTGGGTGAAATTTTAAATTTGCGCTGTGGTTTCCGGGCATTCGACTGGAAAGTTGAAGTTATCCGTGCTCGACGTTTACTGCAAGGAGAAATATATATTCTATGTCATGGTGTGACAGAATTAAAATGAACCAGCTGCATACGTAATCAGACAATTTAAGTAGTACAAGCAACATGTGTCAGGGGATCCTCATGAGTTATACATAGTATGCTGTCTACAATGAATCAGTAATAAGTATTCAGGAAGCCGTTTGTTTCAATGATAATTCTCTCGAAGCTAAGAAAACAATGAGCCTACATATCGTCAGCATCTACGCCCCACGAGCAGTACGGGTAGCATAGAATGTCATAATTTTATACCTCAATACAATGTATGCGAAACGCTACGCCTGAAGGTACAACGTAGGCACTTAGCGGACCAGGAAATACAATCGTCATGGCACCTCTTCCATCTGCGACCACATCTCAGAAATACCGTAGCTTCACTGCACGCTATAAGGCTCGTAACTAAGGTCACGACCACGATATAGCCTTTTTTACAAATACATAATTGTAATATTCTCTCCTTTTTAAACTTCATTCTCTTCCCGTTGTTTTTACCCGCTAATTTAAACATGATTTGCTTAAACTTACTGACGATTATTGTTCTTTCCTTCCCGTCTTTTAATATAAGAAGAGTTTAAAAAATTAAAACGTGTATATGTCTCCTCATTACTAGAAAAAAACTTAATACCATCGTGCTTTCAAAGCCTCTCATTGATGTTCATGACTTAAAAATCGGATTTGAGCTTTTACACGATTCGGCGCCGTTATAACTGTCATTACCACAGCAATTGAGATGCGCCTATTCCGAGTGTGGGCTCACCACATAAGTGCGGGGTAGAGCCTGGCGGTCACGCAAGAAGGGACAGGGCGTGCAAACAGCGCGACAAGGAACCGGAAGTGCGAGTGGACAGCTGCGCACATCCGCTGACCTAGGCCTCCAACGCCAACGCTTGCCTTTGTAATCTCCTCTGTAGACCCTGTGACAATCCTGCTTCCGTGTGGCTTTACGATCTCTATAAGTGTTTGCTATCATCTCGATATCTTTCTTCCTCCTCTATCCACTCCTCTTTATCTGTTTTTGGCTCGGAATTCTACACTTCAACCTCTATTCTATCCAATTTGTTTCTTCTTTTGTGCCTCGTCACTCGATTCTGACTGCGACGCCTTTTTTTATTCAGAAACCAACGTATTTTCTTTCACATTTCTCCCCCCCCCTCCTCCTTCTGCTCCTCTCAGGAAGCTTGTCTCCCGTGTCCGCAACCGCCACTGAGTACCCGCATCCGCATTTCATACCTGTCACAGTCGTGACCTCGCATCTCCGGCAACCACACGGCTCCTTTTATTCCCGCACGCAGAACGTCCATCCTCCTCATCTTGTACCTCGCGTCCGCCTCCGCGGCAGCAGTAGCGTTGCATCGGCGGCGACGCACGCCATGTGTCGTGCGCGGACGTTTCCTACCAACGACGGGAGGGCGTCGGGGCGCCGTTAGCGCGTGCAGCCGCGCGGAGGAAGGCGATTTCCCAGTGGAAACGGACGCGCACGAGCGACAAGTCGCGGCGCCCGGTGCGATTGAGGCGATGACTGGCGAGCCGCGGTGGAAGGTGGTTGACGGCGGCGGAGGCTGCGCTAGCGGGACAGGGCAGGGCGCGACGCACGCGACAGCTGCATCCCGTCAGATGCAGGGGGGAGGCACAGGATCTTCTTGCAGAACGCTGAATCACGAATGAAGGGCGACCCGTGTTGTACTGGTTAGACCGCTCGCTTCCCGCTGGAGGATATCGGAGTTCTAATCCGGGTCGACCCGGTGGAATTTGCGGTGCGTCAAGCGGATTCGCCCCTCATTCATGAGCCGGCGTGCTGCCCGAAGATCCTGTATGCTCGGGCCTCCGGCACCCGCTCGCGCCGCGGTTCCTGCGCCGGGGCCAGGTGCCGCGTGCGCTGCCGAAGCGGGTTGGGGCGGTTTCTCGGGGTTCTCCCGTTTCCCCTTCCTTCCATTCCATTGCTCGACAATAGTTCGAATCATAACAATTATCAATTCATTAAATGAATCAATTCATCTTACGTATTCTTCCGAAATGGATACAAGGCAAGAATCAGCAACATAATAAATGCCAAAAAACGAGGGTGATTCCATGAGATGAGATGTAAAATTATTCGCCGTCATTTTCACCAAAAATGTTTTCTAAAACAGTTGCTTTACAGCACAGTTTACCATCAATAAAGCTAGTAAATCCCATTGTCAGTTACTGTCCCAGTCAGTTACCAACACTGTTACTAATCTAAAATTCTGCCGATAAAAAACAAACGGCTCTGGTTGTTACATTTGAGTACAAGCATTTACACTTCAACCGGTGAAAGATTTGTCATTCAGTTCATCAGTGATAAGAAAATCCTTAAATTCGGATCTTGACCTTCATATGCCACCTGATTTCGGGAATGAGAATCTACTAAGGATGCGCCAAAAACTGTGTTGATTGGTATTCGACGGAGACTTCAATTCACGATCAGAACACGAACACTGACGTCCGCGGTCACCACGACGAGAAGGATGAAGAGAACGTGCCGAAGCGACGGGTTTATCGTTTTATTCCCGTTGCGCTGCGAGGTTACGGCGGGCACGAATTCTTTTCCGAGAGACCCACTCGCCGCGGGGCACAATCGCGCCGTCTTAGACCGCTTGTTCTCACCGCCACCGTCAATGATTACAAACATTCCCACACCGCGTTACCACCGACTTCACCGCCGTGATTCTTCCACTGCCATTACCGCCCCTGCTGTTAGATCCGCCTTCTCCTACCACCACCCCCACCAGCGCAGCTGCCGTCCCCTCATCTCTGATCCCAGCGCTCTGGTCTCCCGTGGCCTCCGTCGCCACCTCGCGGAGCGGACGCGCCGGGACGTGGGAACGGGCACGCGACCGGCCGTGCGTCTCGCGGACCCAGAGGTCCCCGGCAGCACGCGCGCACGGTCCAGCGCCGCTCGGACACGCGTGTGATTGAAGCCACTCGCCAGGCCACCTCTATTCGCCGCCGTCCCACATTCGGGACATGTGCCGTGACTTGACGCGGAACTGTCGTCAGAATGCGAGTGTGGACGGTGACGCGGCAGTAATGATGTCCTTCCCTGTCTTGTTTCTTGTGTTTCGCCGCTCCCAAAAACGTCAAAGCTGAAAGAGTTCCGTGTTTTGGAGCAACACAACCGTTTCGAGACATTGAATTACGAGAATTTTACACTATTCAAGTCATAAAAGCACGATAACTAGTACTTTGATGGAGAAAGAAATTCACGACTCATTCGCCATTTCTCATATTTTTCTATACCTATTCAATGCAATCAAAATAAAACTGACACTTCAGTACTCCTTTGAGGTTCGACTTTAGGAATCCGAACATCCCATTCTTGAAATCGTGGTTTTTAAATATTTTGCTATTCCAAATTTTAAGAAAATCAACATGCGTTTAAGCCGACAAAATTAACTGTCTTAATTGTAACTTCTAATGAGAAATACGTTCATCTTTCTCAAACTTCTTCTAGATTTGTTACCTCTTAAGTTTCCGTTCTCAGCGGGACCTTAACCTCGAAAGATATTACGTAAACAACATAGGATCGAAAGGAAATGCAAACAGGAGCTTTCTCATGCGCCACCCATTGCCGAGTAATAGAGGACGTCCGTAGATAATTCATTCAGCGCTTTTGCTTTCCGTCGCCCCGCCCACCGGCGCCGCAGGCGGTCGTTCACATTGCACGAAGGTCACGACCCGGAATCGCTATGTTTGTAAGCGCACTTACCAACCACGAGCGCTCGGAAAGGCTGCCAGGCTGCTTAATTACAAATCCAACTCGTGAAGCAGTCCCACGAATTTGAACCGCCGACTCATGTTCAGTAGTTTAAGCCTGAAGAACACACAAGCGAATAAAAACACATTGTCATTAATTTCTCGGTTAATGAGCTAAAACCCACAAGAAACGTTCATTGCAATGAGCACTTCCTCGCGCTCAGTATAAAAGCATAATCACCATACGTAACCGGGAAGCACATCTTCAAACTCTGCGGCAACCGGAAGGCGCAAATTGTCGACGCGAGACTCGCGGTCGCCCAAGATTCACTTTCGGTTTCATCCGTCAGTTTCTCCGCCGTCTTCAGATGTTTTGTTCGGCGTCGATTGGTAGCGCTCTCGGCGACGGAGGCGCCAAGCAGCGGCGGCGTCCTGGCCGACAGATGAATGGCGACGGGGGCGCAAAAAAAAAAAAAAAGTTCGGAAGATGCAAAGCGGATGACCAGCGAAAAGCGATGCAGCGAACGCTGCAAGGTCACACGGGAGCGGAAGCACTTTGTGGTAGTAGCAGGACAAAAGAAACGCGCCGCTGTACAAACAAGGCAAAAAGAAGTCGATTCAGCGAGCACTTCGATTAAGCGAGCCGTTTTTGTTACGAGCTGCGAAATAGATTCAATTCAGATGAATTGGTTATACTTATCCCTACACTCACTGAGAGCGTACAAACAAGTTAGAGATGGATACATGAATGGGCGTGCATGAAGCCGTTGTTAAATAATATCGAGAACAAATTAAATTGCCTGCTGCATGCGATACGCATTTCTTCGCTAATGTAAAGCACATATCCATGACTCACTAATTATGGTCTGTCCCTCAGGTACATTTATCATGGCAGGGAAAAGGGTAAACATTTTATGTTGTTAACTGTAGTAACTTGTAATCGATATTTGTTTCGACCTACGTAAATAACAGACAGGTTTACGTATTTTAATTGGAATATTCACGTTTTATATACATTAACTTAAAAAATACTCTTTCTTATATAAAATTGTTATAATAATATACCCATTTCCTTCTTCTTCTTCTTCTTCTGAATGTCACATTTAGTAACATAAAATGTTCTTCTCGAAATAAAAACTGTTCCTAAGAACGCTAGTCAAAGAGCCAAGTAAGTCTTAACAGGCATTGAATTGAATTAATGCCTTGTTTTACGTGGTGTCTTCTTCCGTCGGACCACGCAAATTTCGCTACGCTCCTTTCACCAACTAGCAGAGAAAGGAGGTATTTCTTGGGCGAGAAACTGGCGATTTGAATTTAGCTCAGAGGCGTCATTTAGGCTTGAGAATCTTCTACATGCAAGTAAATCTACTAACATGGGACAACCGGCTTTACTTCCCCTCCGAAGGAAGGCGTACGAAGGATTTTTTCGCCCTCAAAAATCCACGGCTTTGAACCCGCCAACTTGGGTACAACAGTCTGGTACGCTAACCGTTTCACCATCGCCGCCGCGCAGGAAGGTGTCGGCCGTTCAAAATCTGAGATGCCGGGATACTAAAGACCTTCTTCTTTCCGTTGCAGAGAAGGCCGCCAAGATCCTGATGCCCCTGCTGCTGGCCCTTAAGCTGAAGGCCGCCGCGCTCATCCCGCTGGCCCTGGGCGCCATCGCCCTCATCGCCGGCAAGGCCCTGCTCATCGGCAAGATCGCGCTCCTGCTCGCCGCCATCATCGGCCTGAAGAAGCTGCTGTCGCAGCAGAAGACGGTGACGTACGAGATCGTGGCGCACCCGCACCATACCTCCAGCCACGGCGGCGGCCACGACGCCTACTCGGCCATCGGCGGCGGCCTACGGCGTCTCCGGAGCGGGCGGCCACGGCGGCTGGGCCGCGCCCTCGACGCTCAGCAGCTGGCCTACCGCGGCTACCCGCAGGCCCAGCCCCAGCAGTAGGCACGGTCAGTCCCTCTCACTCCTTCTTCCTCTATTGTTTTTTTTTTTTTTAATATTATTATTTGAGGCGTTCGGGTGTTTAAAAGGGTACTATTGAAATACTGAAGGAAATTCAGATGACTGATCTCGATGAAGAAGGGGGAGTAGCTCTGCTTATTTTCCAAGTAATTTCAATAACAGGCAACTCCCCACATGTCGGTGATAATTCGCTCGTACATTATGGCTTGTGCCGTTCTGATGACGTAAAACCGTAGAAATAGATTGCATTTCCCAGGGAAATATCAGTTAACACAATTTACTCCTGAATTCTTCATGTATTTTCCTTTCGAGAAATTGGTCTCTCATATTTTCGGCTTGAGCTTCCCTTAAAACTTCCCCCGTTGCAAACCTATTGGATCTTCGAGCAGGGGCGCTTCCCTTGAACCGCCTAGGTGTGCTTCACTTTCTCCGCCAGAGCACACTTCTGTTTATATCGGCATAACGAAAACTTTCTTAATTTCCAAAAGTTTTGATTACTAAAATTACAACATACATCCGGGTTTTAAATTAAAATAATTATTTGAAAGACGCTGCGTCCCGAAATCAGCTTTTTGGGTGACATACTATCACATAAATATTCACTATCTGAGCGTAATGTTCGATTCCCGTAGCGTTAACGTGAACTTCTATTGTGGAAATCATGCCCAAACTGTAGATCCCGTTTTTCATTTCCCAGAAAAAAAAATCATACAGATGTCATATGGTGTCATTTAATTTCTGAGTGATCAGTAGCATTAAATATCTCATTATCAAATATCATTGAACTTAGCAATGGAATGATTTTTCGCTTAATATCCCCGTGATTTTCAACTTTTTTTTTGTGAGCATATTCAATGTAATAAAATAAATTCGCGTTGCCTCCCTCAGGCTCATATAAGTTCAGCGCAATGAAATATATTATCCAAGAACTAAGTATTGAAATATTACCTCCCTGGCATAACGTCATCGACTTCATTTTCACATATCAATCACATAACTAATAAGCTATTGTCTCTTTTGCTTGCAGGCGAATGCTCGGGCGTATTTCCTGAAGCTGCTCAATCGCTGAGGAGACTATGGAAAGCTCTTCACTCTGGTCGTCGCACCACAATTTCCATTTTTAATTTATTAGGCGTGAACAAGTCGCATTTGCTTCGCGCCTTGCCAAATAACTTATCCGGTACCGCAATACTCAAGCAGTAAAGGAATTATTTATACATAATTTATTGCGTAGAGTCTGTAATCGTATTTAATTCTTCTCGAATTAAGTTATTTTTGTGAAGTTGTCTTGCTACATCTTTGAGTGAGTTCAGAGCGATTTCGACCTTAGCCAACGCTACGACTGAATGTAATTATTTTTACTATATAAGAGACCAAATACTACGCCGACCAAAGGACATACGAAGACAGTTTGTAACGGACGAGTATTTACGAGATACTAATAACTACAGTACATACTGCTTTACTTATTTTTAATGCACGACAACTTGACCTAGAACGTAGACACTTAATGACAATCGACTTGTAACAAGTAGCACTTTGTAACTAGATCAGACTAACTTTCCCCGTTATGTGTACATATTAAACAAATTTTCAGACGTGTTCCTTACTAAACTACGAATAAATTCCAACGAGTCAATGCATTACCTACTTTTTAAACATGTTAAGTGTGCACGAGTCACCTACTTTTGAAACCTCGACAATAATCGAGGTTCAAACGACACCAAAGATCTCCCAGGTTAATGTAAACTTTCTCTCAGGTTACTTGTAAGTTTCAAACATCCCCAACATAATCGCATAACTTTCTCACTTTAGTTTGCGAAAATTAGCTGCTATTCATTGCACTTCGCTATTCTACTCTCGTCATTTGTAACCAGCCTCAACTTAAACTTTCTTTCTTCCCGAGTTAATTTACGAAACTTTCGAGGTCTCTGACGACCCAACGTACTACATCTGACGTGAAAGCAGCAACTGTTTGTAACTCACTAACAAACGAAACGAGCTGTAACGATCCACGAGACATGGCTCCAGCGGAGAACGACGAACGCACCTCGACAACGATCGCCGCTGCCTGCGCCTCACTCCTAGAAATATTCTATATTAAATATTATACATCATTGTTTTAATGTTTATATACTTATTTGTAATAAAATATTTATGTATACACAACTTCTTATTATTTACCCAATCTGTACAAAAGCCCTGGAATGGAACGTTTTGATTCGTTCATATGCCTTAGCATAAATCGGATTCGAGTTCGCTTCGTACCACACAGCAATGTTCGCTATCTTGCACACGAGCCAGTGTGCTCTGTGATCCAAGAAATCATACGGACTTGAGAAAGAAACATTTCTAGAATACGTCCAACAGAAAAGACATGAGCTATTTACCTTTAAAGATTCGCCGCGTTATCTTCAACTTCCTTCAGCTTGGTGATCAAGACTTCTTCGCAAATGTATGCACATGCTCATTCCTTGAATGTCGTTGTCGTCGCTCCTTCCACCAGCACTCTCTAGCGGTCCTGTCGTTTACTACATCTCAAGCTACGTCCACGGATGAATACCTAATTTATCCAGGCTACTGCATATATTCCTCCATACTGAGGCACTAAATGTGTGCACAAGTTGTGTACACTCGAGTGTCACAACAGTAAACACAAAATCCGCCAGATGGCAGGCTGGTATTGCAGTTTTTCGACTTCACGAGCCAAAAGTGGTTGAACATCTATTGTCTGAGGCTCGATTCTTGCGACTCTGGCAGCTGAGTCCTGTGTTTTACGCAAGAATTTTGAACTGGAAAAATGTAGGAGTGTGGTATTTTTAGGCTTCTATACAATTTATCAATAACATACCACATAGGTTGGGACTATATATTTGTAAAAGTTTATTAAATGACTGAAAAATATGTACACACATTGTATTTAAGATTCAGAAACTTAACACTCGTCTACTTGCATTGTATTACAGGAATGATTCAGACCTTGACACAAATTGATGTCTCTCACTCGTTCAACTAGATTAACCCATTTCCTTATCACATTTCAAACATAAACAAAATGTTTAATATTAGGCCTACATTAAAATTAAAAAAAACTATATTACATACTGTTTTGACACTCGTTTGAATTATCAGTTCTAATCTTTATCGTTACTTCAAGAGCGTCAACACAACGCTCGTGTAACACAAGCCTAAAACTTCTGGGACTGGTGATTTAAAAAAAAATGTGACAGGGTAAAATACACGATTACAAGGGAAAATAAAAGATGCCGGGAAGTTGAAATCTCTAAACAAGTAAAAAGACTGATACATAGACTCGTAAAGAAAACTCAAAAACATTTGTTAATTTATTTTCATACTTATTCAGTTCACTTAATTGCAACAATAGAAGGAATCATTTCTGACTTGGCCGCATTTTTTCGAAGTAGTTCCGTAAGCTCTTCTACATTTTTAGCTGTTTTCGACAGAGTTTTGATTTTTTGTCGTATTGGCCACTTCTCAAGGGTAGATTTAAAAGTTTCTTCAAGTTTTTTTCTTGAAAATGTTCGATAATTTTACAATTTTTGTGGTGTTTTGTATTATTTTTTGCAAAAGTTAAAAATTTATAAATTAAAATTAATTTAAAGAATTGAAAAATTGAGTTAACAAGATAATGAGAATATAGCACATGTTGACTTTTACAAGTAAAATACCGAAATTTTTCAAGTTTGATTTTCCAAGCAATAATATTCAAAAATACATACTGTAACGACACAGTTGACTAATGTGCCCATGTGTGTCTTCACTATAATATTTAAAATGTATATATACGTCCTTATTTCAAGCTATATATATATATGAAAATAATGTTTTATTTTGTAAGGCAATGGGGCTCTTTTCAAAGATTTTTAGGGCGCCACGGTCCCCCTGGCCCGATGTGCGCATGCCTATGCTCTGACCTGTGAATCAACCCACTGGCCACCAATGTGTTGAGGATGCTGAATTCGAATTTGAGGTTTGCTATCTCGTGGAATGTAGGCTTCACAAACAAAATTGGTAACAAACCTACAAAGTTCGCACCTTTTCAAGAGTTTGACTTCTGTGAAGAAAACTTGTGTTTTAACGAAAATTACCATCCATCATACACTAAATTAAAATAGACAAAATTCTCTACTGAATGCATATTTTAACTTTATTTTTTCTATAATCATTTCAGCTAAAGCTCGCTGAAAAACCGGGAGATATTTTACTCTCTGGATAAAGCGGAAGAAAAGCCCACTCCGGGCCTATCATCTTGCGGCGGAGCTCCAGTTCTAACTTGCTTGAAAACAACTGTGAATGAATTATTTGCATTGTTGAATGATGAATGGAAAAAATATTATATATACGTGAATTGAAATGTTGAAGTTCATTCTAAAGAGACGCTGTATAATGTAATCAACAAATTTATCATTTTGATTTGTAGTCGAATTTTAGAAGGTCCGGATCGAAGGTTATATTGGTTATAGTACAAAACTTGACAAAGTCTTTCAATGACAAACAAAAAAATTCTTTAGGAATATTTTGTATTGTATTTTTCTAATTCATTCGGAGCATTCGTAAGACAATGAAGCATTGTTTGGAACGCGCGGATACTCTGAGACATCCCCGCGACACCATTGAAATAGCTGTGAATAATTTATATGGCACTTAACTGCCAGGAAATACCACAACCACCGCCTGAACCACCATTCGTCCATAGAGGCCGGAGAAACATTCGCCCATTGAGGCGTTCCCGACTAAGTGAATGTGGGATCTGGTGACTGAAATATTGGAAGAACACAAGGAAGGTGCGGATTTCATTTTCGTTGAAATCCCCGCAGAGTCGTAATGAATATAGTGTATCATGAATGCAGAGTAAATTCTAGTGAAATTGTCTTATGGCTGTGGATGGATACATTTTAATGAATTTTTCATATGACCATGGATGGGAAGGCTGTCTTTCCATCTTTCTAGTTATTGTTCACTTGTGATGATCATACATTAATTTGCAGTTTAAGAGGTGTGGCTCTGTGATCGACTACCACTCACTGAATGTTACAACTTCTAGACCTGACTGAATGAACATACTTCAAGAAGAAAGTACCCTCTTGAATTGTTTAACTTGCATGTCAAGCCTGGTTGGCAAAATGAGTACACAAAGAATAATTCAATATTATCCTATGTTAATAAATATGACAACAATTAAAACATTTGATTTGGAAATCCCAGTAAATCAGAAACTTTGTTATACAATATTGCAGAGAGGCTCTCCACATCTGCAAACCCTGCAAATCATTAAAAGTTGTAATTTAATTCCTCAGTAAAATATGTCACGTATATTAATTTCCTAGAAAATACAAAAAAGTCCAATGTGAAGGACGGTTGTGTAGTTGGCCCTCATTATTGTTGTTGTTGTCAGCTACACACACCTATGCTGGTTGGGACACAACTCTCAGAAGTGTGGGAGCAAGTGGACCTTCTCAATCAAAATCCATGGATGGGGTGATCTTGCTTCAGAAAATTCTTTTCTAGTTTTTACAACTGAGTTTTTCAGTTCGTTGTCACTCCACTTAGTATTCCAAAGGAATATGCAAGGATTGAAGTTGTCAATGTTAAACACTTTTGTTCTGTTGCAAGCACTTAATTATGTCTTAAAATCATTACTTTTTGTATGTAGTTGGCACTCACTTCCTTTGCAAGTATATCATTTGTCCTTGACTACACGTGTCCACTGTATTTCTCTTCTCTCAACCATTCCTTCCGATGGGACCTTGCTCATTTATTTACTCCACATCAAGGATGTTCAACCCATTCTCCCTTGCTTGTACTGTAATTCTACACTTGAAGCCACATTTCATGAACATGTCATTACTGAATTTCCCTATGCGATGATCTAGGAGGCTGTGAAAATGGTTTTGGTTTCAGCAATTACATAAAACAGGAGACTTGCTTGGACTCCCACTTGTACAAGCTTAAATCCCATCCGTCGATTCAGCTTAGTTGTAGGCAGTTTCACTGCAAGACAAAACCACAAAAGACTGAGAGCATCACCTGACACCTCTCTTCATTTAATGTCCCCAACTCTTAATTTATTTTCCACCAGTGCCAGCACTTCAGTACTCCAGTGATCCATGGCAAACTTCCCTCAGGAACCATTTATAAGATTCTGAAACTCTTTAATTTCCAACACGGCACTCAGACATGTATGTGGAACAATTTCAACAGCTTACGGATTAACTGCATGCAGAATGGACACAATGATTTATTTCCATTTCATAATAACACACATATCCATGGGCCCAGGGGCACACTGTAAATGCAATGGGCACTCACGCACGTATGCACAGGAGAAAAATAAAATATGAAAGAACCTGTATCACAAATAAGGAAAATATATTTTTTTGAAAACTCAATAGTAGAATACATTACAATGTTATGGAACACATTTTAATACAACCATATTTGATACAACCATTTTATGTTTACCACTCATTTTCAAAATATAAAAAAAATTGTTTAATATACTTTTGCACAAACTTGCTGCACGATATACACAAACTTTCACCCAATAGTTTTTAAAGTGATGAATGAAAAGATACAATTGATTTCCAAAATTAAAAAAAAGAGAAGTACTACAAGAAATTTAAAAGAAAGAAAACCTCTCAGAAATTGTTTGGTTTTAAACAAACACTTTCAAAATACTCCTTAATCTCATTACCTCCTAGACATAAATGTTCATGTTTGACAATTTTCACTTCACGCATTGAAAACAATACAGTAAAACTCAAAATATCCCCATGAGTTACCAACACCTATACAAACATTTTTATTTGAATTGGCTCTCTCACAATAATTAGAAGCTGAACGAGAATTTACACTAAATTTGTCGCTTCATCAAATTAATTCACTTGCCTATTTTTCTTATGGCTACTTGCAAAATAGTACAGTTATTTGTTATGTTTTCAGGTAACATGAATGAGAATAAATATCTTTTCATTAGTGAATTTTTATCTTGTTTTGTAACACCAAGTGATATCACAGACTACACAGGTAACACTTTCAGTAAAATAAAATTAATGAACTATTCTGATTACAACATCCTCACCCCAAGGGTAATCTAATGATATTAAGTAGGAAGAGGTGTATTAATAATGAAAATATTATATCTCTGCATCTCACAATTATTAAATTCTCCAATGGCACAACATGAAATGATCTGAAAAATATCCATTTTTAATGAATTTCTTTCATTACAAGTACATTAAATAAAATGGATGAATACATTTTCTTAAAGACAAAACACAATGTAATAGTTCTTTGTAATAGTAAAAGTTAACACTTTTTAAGATGACGAGAAAAGAGTTGTCAAATGTCACAACGTTTTTTTATTTTTACAAACTGAACACAAACACTAAAGGGTTATTTAATGAGTTTAAAAATGTCTTAATACTTCCAATAGGAGATCAATATGTAATAAAAATAAGACATAGGCCACATACAACCACAAATATACATAGCACAACCTAAAATGTTTTGAAAGATTATTTGAAAATACAATCTATGCTGCCGAACAAGATCAACACAATTACAGACACACAGGAACACAAAACTGATGATGAATGATCAATTTTAAAAGACTGTTCATCAAAATTCTATATGGTGTACATTTGTACATTCACTTAGCCAGTAAGATCTTTCTGTTAACCTGTAGTGGCTCATCACTTCAAAAACAAAAATATTAACAGTCAAGAGAGAGGGAGAAACTCAGTTGTCAGCAATAAACCCTGGCACCACGTTGGCATTGACTCATCTGCTGTATTCACAAGTTTCAGCAACAAAAGAATCAGACATCCATCCCTCAAATGTGTGATGTGAGAGATTGCATACAACTCAGTAAAAAGGACTGTATAGGCAACTTTCAAAACATTTTTTTTAGAAGAGTACCTTTTCGCAAAATGAGTTGGGTTATTGATGACATCACTCACATTATCTACTGGAGCAATGATTTCTGAATTCATCTCTCTTGAATTTTCCTCATAACAAGTCAAGATCAAGAAATCAAGATTGTGCTAGAGAAACAGAATTTTCTGCATTCCTACTACCGAATATGTTCCCCCTCTTCACTCTCTCTGTCTGTCAATAAGACTAGCACTGAAAATTCACACAGGATTTTTTTCCAAAATGAATATATGCTTCATCGTGAGTCTCTGTGAATTGAAAATGGATCTTTACTTGAAGCCCTTGCTACATTTTCAATTTTATTTTGAAATTGGCTTAACTTTTTTTAAACCTTCATTCTCAAAAAAGCAAGAATATAAATATGGTATAAGTCAGATTTTCATGAAAACTCTCAGCTATTGGATGAAACACAGAAGTTTCTCAGCTATCGGATGAAACAGAGAGGATTTGGTGCGTTCCCAGGTAGACTGGGGATTCCTCAAGGAAACAATACAATACTTCAGTGGAATTCATCCACATGTTGCTATGCTTCCAAAATACTACTAGTAGAAACCAAGTCCATCATTGGAGGCTGACCTGACGTGTCCAAACAGGGATGTTTTCAATGGTCAACGGTGGCCTCTTCCCAGAACAGAGCTACAAACCCATTCCTAGAGGCGCACACTGCACATCTTCAAGAGAATCTATAAACGTTCCAGGTAAAACGGTTAATCCAGACATGGTAGATAATTTAGTCTATCTTGTATGCATCCAGCATCGGCATTACAATAGTATCATAGAGTTATATGTCCATCAACATCACACAACCCACTGTTGGCAGCCTATGGTTAATAATTCTCAAGAATTCGCAACTGTCGTACCAGGGTAGCAGCTCAGAGTGAACCGCATAACCTATATATATGATATAAATACACAAACACATTGCTTTTTTCTTGTATATATGTTGCATGTAATGAAAGAACATTAGAATGAGCAGAGCTAGGATTTGTATGTAATTACATATCTGTATAAAAACATAACTGTATGTAGTTATATATATGCAGGGGCGGACCCAGTTGATCATTTGGGGAATGGGGTGACTTGGCAGATTTTTGTTAAATAATAAATATATTTTTATTATATTGCATATTATTTACACATTGTAAACATGCTACTATTCAATACTATTGTTTTAATCATTACATAATTTGAACATAAATATTTAAATCAATTTTGCCAAATAAAGGAAGGTAAAAGAAAACTCCAATTGGACCATGATCCCCCGCCCGCGAGGCTGAGTTAATCTTTTCTTCCTTTGGTCCTATCTTCCATATACGCGTTTTTCTGGAACCCATATATGGGGAAAAGAATCGCGCAGTAGGCGCGATGTTTTGTTTTCTTGGATAAAGGAGTTTATTGACAGACTTCGATTGTTTCACGGTTATGTTCCATCGCGCTGATATGATGATGAATAATTGAACTGTCTGATCGGAATTTAGCATAGAAATGAACTATATAGCGAGTCTCTATTTCTAGTTTGACCTTTCCTCCTATTTTATGTCACAAAAAATATAGATTGTATTAACACACATTATATTTGTTTCACATTCTTAATTGAATGATAAGATCAGATCTTAAGAGAACCAATAGATTTCATGCGTTTTACTTGCAAAGAACAAGTCACAGCAAGTTACAATGAGTTTAGAATAGAGACAAAAATAATGCCATATTCTTTATCAAAAATAAAATAATAGTCATGTCCCAATATTATATAGCTATTTTTATACAAATATATATTTGCCTAATGCCTCTCAATCGTCACCCGAACACCATTTCTGTTCCCCAAAATATCAACTGGGTCCGCCCTGCAATATATAAACTACATACAGTTATGTTGATAACAATATGTAATTACATTTGACAAATTCCTAGCTCTGCTCATTCTAATTTCTGTCTGCATTATATTTCAAATTCCTATTTGTCACATGGTGCAAAACTAAAT